ACCCCTTATCAATATGCTAATATGGTGGCAAATATCAAACTATGCTGTGCAGTGGTAAATATCAGTAAAGAACTGAGTTGATGAGAAAATGTCACCAGAGGCTGGGGAGCATGCGCTAGATGTGCTGTTGGATGGAGCTTTAGTGCCATCAGAGTCCATTTACAGAAGTGGTGCTGGATGAAGCTGTGAGTGCCATCAATGCCTATTTGTGGGAGTCTGCTCCAGGCAGGCCTGTGGATGGAGGCAGCGAGAAGGCTCATTGTCTTTCCCAACCATGGTTGTTACCTGGGGATCTTGGAGAACAAAGAACTTCATAGAATGAGGAGGTAGGTACGATGGGGCAGACACTAATAGTGCCTGGAAGGACCAGGAAGGTAGACTCAGTTTAGGCTCAAACTCTTTTAAAGGACTTGACTACTCAGCTCTGCTGCACCCCAGCCTGAACTGAGATGGGAAAACATTCTACTTCAGTTACAACATCTAAGAGGGCAGAAGAAGGAAGCCAACTGTGACTACTCATTTGTGCAGGCTTGATCAGAGTCCCTATGCTTTCCCATGTGCCCACAGACTCATCTAGAACACTAAAAGACTTTTTCAGCAACCTTGCTGTCTTCCTTCAGGCTGCACCTTCCCCAACCCTGTCCAGGGTGACAGCTCCTCCCGTTTTTGCTCTATTGCTTCATGAGAATTTTTCATAAGCTTTCTGAAATCGTTTTTGAGAATTTTATGAACAGCTCTATGAGAACTCAGGCATACCTTGAGCTACTTTCAAAATGTAACAGATTGAGAGCCATCAACCATTACCAACTCAGACACAGGTCACACTTTCAAACAAGGCTGAAGTCCTTCTCCAGAAAGTGTCCAATGAGAGTGCAGTGCGGCTTGAGGCCTCCTTAGGTTTCCTGGCCTTCTCTTTGTAAGATATAATTACTATCCATGAATGTGGCAGAGTAGATTTTTGTTCTTAATTGCCATTGAATTGGTTCCCCCTCACAGTGTACCTGTATATGGTGGGTTTGAACCACCAACCCTGTAGTTAGTTGGTCATAAGCAGTCCAACTGGTCCTACAGTACCATGTTGTTGTCGTTGTTAAGGGCCATTGAGTAGATACCAGGGCCAACCTCACAACCACTGCTACCTCTGAGCCCCTTGCTGCTGCCACTGTCCCAGTCTATCCAGTTCCTCTTTTTCTCTGACTCTCCACTTTACCAAACATGATGTCCTCCTTCTCCAGGGACTGGTACCTCCTGACAATATGTCTGAAGTATTAGAGACGAAGTTTGGCCATCCTGGCTTCCAGCGAACATTCTGACTGTACTTCTTCCAACACAGATTGGTTTGTTCTTTTGGCAGTCCATGAGAATTTTAATACTGTTTTCTAACTCCATAGCTCAAATGCATTGATTCC